GCGTATTCGTTTCACTTGTATGTGATAATTTGACCATTCTGAGTCCGTCTTCAGAGTCACAATCAAGTGCTGTAACTCTTCAAACGGACTAAGCATGATCTGAAGTGTTGTTTTTGGAAATGTGATTAGTTCCTGTACGAAACAGGGTTTTTGTTTTTCACTGCTCATGGCGACAGATGCACGTATGACAAAATGATGTGGCAGTATCATAATAATGATATTTTACTCGCTGTAGCTTTTAAGTAATATTGTCGGTCTTCAAAATTTCGCGCTGAAATCACGTATATGTACTTTCATTGGATAAGATCGCGAAAATAATCTATGATCTTCGCTTTAACATGTTATCGACACAGGTTTTCACATATTTTTGACATGCTGCTCACTTCTCGTTTGGTTTTTCTGGAGCAAATGGCTGGCTAGATGCTGTCTTTCTCCATGATATCTGTAGTAAATCCTAAGCATTTGTCGCATTCCCTTTGGACTGGGTTTCAGTATGTTTTGTGTTCAAATCAACAATTATCAGTGTTGCTCAGTCGGTAGAGCGTACGACTCATTATGGAGAAGTCGTTTGTTTGAGTTCTGTTCTTCCTTTCGAGGTTAATACCACTGTTTAAAGGAAACAGGAAACCACACAGTTTGCTTGCCGTATAACTGTTGTCTACTCTTCCTTTAAAAGTAGTACTGGTGTAGCCAAAGTCATGAAAATGGAGATCAACGCCACGTCATTAAGTTCATGAAAAGAAGAACACCAGAAATGACCCTTCTGCAAGTCAGCAAAGCATAATGGGAGGCCGATATTCCAATTGTGAGACTTTTCTGCGTTTCATTCCAAAAATCTACTAGTTGTACATGTATCCTATGATACTAAAGAGGTGCAATCACTCTTCAAGTTATTTGCTTGAGCAACAAACTTGCTATCAGTACTTTTATTAAACAGAAAGTGAGAATCAAAAACCTGCTTCCTCAACACCCTGAATGTCGCAGACTGAGGGACGTTAAGCAACAGGCTTCATCTTAGTTCTTTTAAACTCCAAGCAAGAAATTGTAATCAATTGCTAACCAGTTGGTCTGAAAATCATTCATTTGCAAACCTCATTATTTACGCAAAATGAGGTAATCCTTTATCAGTGGAAAATTATTTTAATTCTTAGGTGTTGGCCTGCCTGCTTCTGCGTTGTGATTTGTAACCTGGTGAAACGAAGCTGTGTTGCCGACATCTGTCACCCGCGTAATGATGACCATGCTGCGCTTGCGACTGTTACTGTTGGGTTTATTGGGAGTGTATGCTGACTTCGATGACTCGGCCACTTATCGTTTGGAATGGCCAGGGAACAAGCAGAAGGGTATGGAGCTGTTGAACAAGATGCATCATGTAGGTATATGTCTTTTGCAGTTTCAGGATGGGCAGAAATTTTATGTTGTGTGACTTCGAGTTAAACCAAGTTTGAAGATTTCAATAGCACCGCTCCTTGTCCTATTTGCATAAGGACAATTTAAGCTAGCCTCGGCTTTATGGCATGTACTTAGCTTGTGTAAAGTGTTTTTTGAATGACCTCTGAAACTCACTTCTATTCGGTGTCTTCTTTTTCTTCAGTAAATTAGCACAATGAAACATGGATATTAGAATTCGCTAGAACTGAGTATGTTTCAAGCAGACTACATTCGCCATCCTCAGGACAAATACTGGAAATTTGTATCGATCCTGACCTAGCGGACTTCTTTAACTCTTCGTGCCATCGATCTGAAGGTCTTCCTATAGGCCGTTTACTGGCTCTTGGTATCTAATCTGCTGTGTCTCAAGTCCAGCGATGGTCAGTTTTTCTTGTTCCATGTCCTACCCTATGTCGCTTCACTTTCTTCACTCGGACAATGACATTGCATACTCTTTTTGTGTTTTTATCCATTCATTCCTCTTCAAATGTTTTCTTCTTATTTTTTTATTCTTCTTATTCTTATTCTTCATATTCATCTTATATAAATCTTTCCATCCTGCTCTGCGTATGAATAACTTTCAGGCTTAGAATTCATGGATTAGAATTGGGAATACATTCTGGTCGAAAACTTTTCGTTTCAAGTGTAAGGGCAGTTTTTCAGATAGGAACATTTTCACTCATCCGAAAATATTCCATGGCATTTTTATTCTTTAGTTGATTTCCCATGATCGGTTCTCCGTTGCAGAGACGAGATTTCCCATTTGAACATAGTATTGCACGTCTTCAAGCTTAAGTCCGTTGATCTCAACAGGCCGATAGGTCACAACTTTGGAGAGCATGACCTGAGTCTTCTGTTTGTTTTCAGTCCTCCTTTGATGCGGATGATGTTCATTTTTTGCATTCTTTGGAATTCATTCCTCTGGCGACCTTGAGAGGATCAGAATCTCGTCCACAGATTGCAGGTTGCATAAATAGTACCTGTTTATGTTCAACCCATGATCTTCTCAACGGACTATCTTAAAAACTTCTGGTACTGCTGTGAGTGACTTCAGTGATATTGCATCACCCTGTTGAACGTCTGTTTCCATTTTGAACTTGGTTGCCTTTTCGTCAAGCTTCACTAGCAGTTGCATTCTTGTAAGTCATGACGATAAGGTTGATGTCGATCGATTCCCTGGCTCCTGCATGAATCTAGTACAAAACGAATGTACAGCGAGTCTAAAGCCTTCTCGAAATCGACATTGCCAAAGCAAAGGGGAAGCTGATATTCGTTGCTTTTTGAAATTACTGATTGTGACATTTGGAGATGATCAATGATACCAAATCTACTTCTAAATGTTGCTAGCTCCGTTTTCTGTACCGGATTTCTCAAGTAGTGGCCATCCAGGTATTGGTGTAGTTACAATCTCTCCATTTTCTGACGTCATTTTTCAAGTATATTAGGGTTTTCGTTGTACCCATTTTACTGTTGAAAGATAGACGGCATTAATAATCAGGTCATTCTCTCTAGCTGTACTTTTATTTTGATTGGTATTAATTACTGTCCCCGACCTTCCGTCTTTGTTCGTGGTTCGGGTTTTTTGTTTAGCATATTCGCCATAACGAAGTAAGAGGATTTGTTTCCCCCGTCCTGGTTTATGACGAGCTTCCAGGCTGTGATAGCAGTGCCTTTTATGTTTTTTATGCGGTCAAATCCTGCGATATCTTCACTGGGCACTATCCGTCCACGAACTATTCGACTGCAAGGCTTTCTGGAACGCGCGGATTGAACAGCCGAAGCATGTTTCGTCCATCTTTCATGAATCTCGAGCTGATTTTTATATCCCGAGTAGTGGAACAAATGTACATACTTTTGCGATAGATTTTCGTCCCAAAAAAGTGACAGGAAACTGCAGTAGTTTTGGTTATTACCGAGTGAGACGTTTTCTGCATGTCCATTGAAAGAAAAACAAAATTAATTTTCGAGGCAAATGAATTTAAAATAAACTGTTTGTTTAGAGTCAGCTTGCTGATGATGATGCGGTGTTGGTGACAACTGCCGTTCAGGAGAAGTATATTTGTACTTTTCCGCGAGAACGCACCACCTCGACGTCGAATAAATTGGATTATGACGGTCCGAAGGCAGAGGACTTGGTAAAGACGTTGTTCAGTCAAGGATCCTGTACGTATCGTGTCGAGACATATTGGACGTACGAGGTGTGTCACGGACGTAACATCAGTCAGTATCACGAGGAAAACGAAGGCAACTGGCGTGGTGCCCGACAGCTGTATTATTTGGGATTCTATTCGCCGGAATCGGACCTAACCGAATCTGAAGCGGTGCCGTTCGATGAGCTGCACCCACCGAAACGGAAGATTGACGATCAGCTGCTACCGTATTACCCGATGAGGTATACGCAGGGTACAATCTGCGACATCAACCAGAAACATCGGACTGCGACCGTACTGTACTTCTGTTTCCCCCTGAGCAGGAGTCAGATATACTCGGTAAGCGAGGTATCATCCTGCGATTACGAGGTTGTGATCCTATCATACGTGTTATGTCGTCATCCAGCGTTCCAACCGGCCAGAGCCGCCGAAAGTCTCATTTCCTGCTATCCATTGAACGGGTCGCCTCCAAGATCGGTTCTGTTTGATGCATTCGAGCGTGACCTGCTGGCCGGAAAGTTACAGTCCGTCTCTGAGCCAAAGACTATCGACATCAAAGCGAAAGTCGCCGATAAGTACAGCGCATACTCTATGAAATCAACCGAACAAGAGGCAGTACAGCGACGGCGTAGTCGCGTTCTGGACGAAGCAATGGTGAAAAGCGTACTTAACGGAAACGAATGCTTTCATGGTGGTTCCGGCTGGTGGAGTTACGAGTACTGTCTAAATAAACGAGTCATTCAATACCACGAGGAGAAGGGCATCAGGACGGCTCAGGTGCTACTGGGCGAGTGGCATATCCAAGATCACTTGAAATGGATTGCTGATAAACCTGGTAAACGGCCAATCATTTCAGGTGACCGAGTTCTGCAGGTAACGCATTTCTACAGCAACGGTGATATCTGTGACCTCACCGGAAAGAGACGGGTTGTGGAAGTGCGTCTGCGTTGTTGGGACAAAGTCCTGAGGAACCCGGATGCCGTCGCTATTTTTTTGTTAGAGCCAAAAACTTGTGAATACGTTATCACGGTAGAATCGCAAATATTTTGCGACTATTTATTAAAAACTGATGACAATGGAATTATTAAAAGCGAGTGATTTATTGTTGATTATACTCTGGTGTTTTTCAAGTTTGTTGTTTTTTATAGTTCTTGTTGAACTTTTTTGTTTTAATGCCTCTGGTTGAAGAATACAGTTTTGTCAATCCCAGCGTTGTTAGTTTGCACACGCTTCACGGCAACAAGAAGAATCGATGTGCGTTTTAACGCGCTTTTTTAGTTCAGAAGATTGGCACAGTACTGCTTCTCATTTTTTCTGGAGTAGATGCACATTATGGCCTTTGTAGACGATGGAGTTGATTTTGTGTCCAGAGACCAGTTAACAAAATGCGAATCTAATTATTTCATTAATATGGCTCTAAATTCTGTTGCTTGAAAAACATCGCTAAAGAATCCTGTTTTTCACTGTTGATAAAAGATTGTCAAAATTATGTAGCAGCTGAAGCAGTCATAACACTGAATGAAATTTCTAGTTGAGTTATTGGTCAATAATCACTGCCAGTCAGTTTCGATGATCATCTGTCCGCCATTCGGATAACGGAAGCATCAGAGTTAGAACTGGTTTCAATCGCTGTGTACCCTGTGTCGGTGTTTCTAGGCCTCAACAGAAAAATTTGGTTTTTTGAGACTCTTGCTTCAGATCATTCATGGCCACCCTTGTGGATCTATTGAATAAGTATCGTTCTGCCTTGCTTTCTGGCATTCACTAACCGTGCCAAAACCATTGTTGCTATGACCTGTAAATTTGGAAAAATGGCTCTACACCAAGTTTCTCAACAAAACGAGCTGAAGACCCTGATTCACCTCAGAAAGTCCATTTCAGTCGTTTATACCCTTGGTTGAAATTTTTCAGTGACGTCCAATATTTACTGCATAAACTGAGCAAGTAAATAAAATTCGCTTTATCGTAGTAACCTTCATGTAATGAATCACTACGTGAAAAACCATATTTGATTCAATGTTCAGAAATCTGACGTAGCTTCAGAAACAGCTGAAACCGGTAAATGAGCTTCTGAGGCTGATGCTGAAAATTTGACTCGACGAATAACTGTAATAAATCAATCACTGCCCTTTCGAATGAAAGACTTGATATAGGTTGAACTACTTTTGTAACGAAATCGGCAGTGTTCATCGTAATGGTTGCAGTTTCTTTCCGGACTTTGTACTGAGTATGAAACTGACATAATCACCTTATCGCTGCCCTGAAGCCGTTACGGCGACTATATTTTTGACTTACGTAATTGCCTGTATTTTACCTTGGTAGGAGTTGTGTAGAAAAAAATATTTAAAACATTTACTCCTATTTCAACGTCAAACCGAAGGAATTTTCATATTAGTTCGTTCCTTTTTCTACAGCCACTATGTCTTCTATGTTTCTTATGTACGCTGTATCAGCTGTATTTTAGAAGATTATTGCTCACCAATAATCTTCTCTGAAAATTTTGAAGTGAAAGTAATATAGCTGACGTGTAGGATCAGACGATTAATCAATAAAGGAGGGGAAGTCGTCAAAATTTGAATGTAGTTGAGCAAAACGAAGAAGAATAGAAATTAAAAAGAAAAGATAAAATTTTGTTCGTTAAATTTGAAGTTAAATTGATGAAATGCTGAATTTTAATTTTCGACAATGGTCACCAGTGCCTAACAGTAGTTGATTTGAATAATTTACCATTATCATGAGCATAAAGCTCACGTTTTATCTTTATTTTCGGATCGAGTGATATAAGCTCACTAAATTAATGGGTATCACTCACTTTCAAGTTTAGGATTCAGACTTGTCAGAATCGAGCAAGTGGCTTATAGTTGATCAGTGGTCAAATATTTAATGGTTGCTTGAAATCGGAATTAACGAAAAAACATGGGAGTTGATTTAAAACACCAATCATTTGCCTTCCTCGGTAGACAGCTATCATCACAGATGAACGTAGCATCGTATGATGAGATCCAATATAAGTTTACGTCAGCTAGTTAATTTAACTAATAACAATGTGTGAAGTTGTTTCAATATGAATTATTTCATAAAACATAAGTGACTTCATCCATGTTCCTCTCAAAAATGCGAATTTAATTCTATGTACAATGTAAAGATGACGAAAGTAAAGAAAACAAGCAAACCGGTATTTTAATTTATTTGTTTATGTTCATAAACAAAACGTGAGTAGACGTATTCGGTTTTATACCCAACGTTAACTGGTACGTGTCTAGTTTAACTCTTCAGAAATGAAGTGGTTATAGTTGGGATAATTTTTGAAATAGGTCCATGAGGACCTTGATAAATTAACGATGTGTCAGGCGTAAAAATATGAATGAAACACAAAGAACTTGTTTATAGTTCCAGTGTTTGTCGTCCTTCGTTGTCATTGTTCGGTATCACCATTCATATGACGTTGCCTTCAACGTGTCCAAAAGTTAGAAAAGTTATTAACTTATAACTGCATTTTCATCGACAGTCGGCGGTTCCTTCCGACCTTCCTTAGGCAAAACATGCATATAACGTGATCAAGAAGACTTTCGCCGAATTTCAAAATGTAGTGAAGCATTAAAAGGATGATAGTTTATTGCTTGAACCGCATTGCATATTTTTAAACAAAAAAATACATTAGAATTATTGACGTGTCACAAGACAAAGAACAGGAATAAAATCGCATTCGATTACTTTGATCCAACAAAAGAGAATGTGCAACCAGAACGCTACAAAATAATGAAAATAAACAAGAAAAAGGCTATCACATCACTCATCTAGAAATTATTTGGGTAGACAGTCGGCACCAGTTACGTAATTCGTCTATCGGCTCGTAAACCAACGCGAAACATAAAGCTTGAAGTTGTTCCATCGTCATCATATAACGCTAAACAAAGTTTGGACGGCAGAGTCATATATTCTGCTGAAATTAAAGGAAAGATCCAAAACATAATGGAAAACTCAAATCTAACGCATTATTGCAATTAATCGAATGGAACTGTATGCAGATTTGGGGTCATGTACAAATTGTTGATTTTGCAAGACATACTTGACGTTATTGGTTTCCATGATCCATCTTCAGAACTTGCGTCGCAGCCGGTCAGCAACGACAAAAATACCGTATCTCATGATCGTGCGAACTACAGTGGAGAAGCACAATTTGTGAGCTGCTACGATAGACGCCAAATCTCATAATGTCTTTTATTTTATCAAAGTCGATCACTGAACGAATTACTGATTGGTACCCAAGACTCACAGAATATCATGTGAAATTTGAAGCTATTATCTTTAAAAGCGGGCATTTTTATTACAAATCCAACGAAAGAATTCAGACCCGTCACCGTAAATGACCAGATGCGATTAAATCCATTTCTAATACTGTCAACCGATTAATCATCGGCAAGGTGAACTCAAAATCACAATGATGCCTGATATTGACAGATAGAAAATAATTAACATGCTTTTACTCAACTTTAGTGATGATTATCTTCAAAAAATTTCATTTCATATTGTCGTCCGATTGAAAGGAGGATGTCTTCTGTCGCTGTTACATTACATGTCGCTGATCCCAACTCTAGAAGACTATGTGAAACGATGATGAATGTTTGTTGATTGTGCTTATAACGTAAGGTTCTTCTTTGACATCAGATTTCCATGTTCTGTGCTATCCACACCACCTCCCAAAAAGAATAAAAACGCTAGTATTCCCCTCGTTCAGCTTCCAAGATTAGTAGCCAACGAATCTTCACCTGCAGAAGAAAGTGTACACTCAGGACAAGAGTCTTTATTTAGCTCTGAAGGCTTATCATGAAACTCAAAGCGGTGAGTCGATGAAGTCTTAATAACCAGAACTGGAGGATTCACTAAAGAAAATTTATACAGGAAAAATTAGGAGCTATTGTCTCTATTGATCTTTAACAAATTGAAACATTTTTCCTGCTATCGACCCATTGAATGGTGCGTGAAGACTCATTAGAAAGAAACTGCGCTTGATGGCCAGCACGATTACACTGACAAAACCGTTAGCAATTTGAATGGTCAAAATCTGAGAAGTTTATTTTAATAACGGTATGAAAACTTGTCATACGTCTTTCTCTGAATGAATTACCAAAATTTTTCTTTCGATATTCAGTTATCCATTTGAAGTTACGATTCCAGAACAGTCGCCATGATTAGAACCTCAAAGGCAATCCGGATCTCTTGTTGGCTGGGTAAATGCTGCATGATTCTACAGCTACATTTGTTTGCTTCCGATTAACTATCTTTTGTCTGTTATTTAACCAGTGCATGCTTCTTTCAGATATGCTTAAAAACAGGAATTTTTAGTGCTCCTCATCGTGCTCCAGCAGCAAACTATAAAATTAATGTAGCTTGTCATGCACACCTGCTGATTAAAATTATATTATGCCAGTGATGAGCACTGACTGACTCTAGCTTTCGAAGAACATGCATCACACAGCCAGTCCGTCGCTGAAGAGAACTTTGGTCGTATATTGTGCATTGTTAAAGGAGAATAAAGTTGTATGATCGGGCAGCGGTGCGTCTCATTCTTTACATTATCCAAACGGTTTACGGGATAGACCTCACCATAGCAGATCCTTTAAGAGAGCTCTCATCATCGACCATTGGCATTTACTCTATATGAACTCAGTTTCAATCAATAATGTTTAGGCTCTCACACAGACCGCCGAGCGGTTTCGAAACCTCAACGCGTTTTTCGAAGGTTACTGTCGTTTTAATGCACTAGCAACAGTGCTACATAAGCGCAAACTTTCCAATATCGTAAAGTCTGCTTGAAGTAAGCTAAAATCTGACAACTTTGGTTTTCTTCCCTGCGCGCTGTTTGAAAGTTGATGTGTATACGGGTTCCAAGTCAGCGCTGCTGGTCGGGTCGATCCTCTGGAGGACGAATTCTTCATTCTCTAAAACAACCAGTAGTTCTTAATTTCAACTTCGTAAAGTTTACAGTAGCAGCTTTGACATTCTCGCTTTTCTAGAAAAAGCCAGTTTTCTATACACCGGCAGACAAAGTGACATATACCAGTCGCTCCATCGGATTCGCACGGCGTTAATCGCTTTCTCTTTGCTTCCACAGATCTATAGGGCCTTCCATAAATATTTGGTAATACTAACTTTAACTACCATTAACAGGTGCTGAAATTGTCTTGTCTGACCCCGCACGATCATGTTGCAAACATACATTGCC